CGAGCCGCGCTCCGCCCGCGCTGGGGCAGGTCCCGGGCTCGGGGAGGGGATCCCGGCCCCGCTCCTCCCTTCCCCGGGGGCAGGACCCGGCTCCGGCCCGCTGTCCCCGGGCTCCCAGTTACCCTGGGGGCTCCCAGTTACCCTGGGGGCTCCCCAGTTACCCTGAGAGCTCCCAGTTACCCTGAGAGCTCCCAGTTACCCTGAGAACTCCCCAGTTACCCTCGGGGCTCCTCATCCAGAGGCTGTTTTGGGATCCAAGGGCTCTCCTGTGGATTTGGGCCTGTGGAAGCCTTTGCTGCCCCCGGTGTGTCCCAAAGCTCCTTCCCACGGGCCGGGGTCCCAGGACAGCTCTGAGGGGCGCACAGGGGGTCTCCCCTCGGACAAGGCTGTGCCTGGATCTCCGGGCAGAGTTTGAGATGTGGCACCTGGGGACCTGGCACTGGCAGTGCAGGGGATGGGGTGACATGGCCTTTAAGGTCCCTCCAGCCCAAACCCCTCGTGATTCTGGGATTCCCAGTGTGAATGGGCCGAGCAGGCTGAGCTGCAGCCCCCCTGGAAGCCCAATTAGCGCCTGTTAATTGTGGACTGGCAGCTGCTTCCAGCGGGCCTGAGCCAGGCAGGAGGCTGAGGGGGGAGCAGAGACAGGAGGACAGAACTTGTGTCATTTGAAAGAGAAGCCACCACTTGTGCTTAGTGGCCAAGCCCAGCAGCCACTGCTGCATTTGTCCCGTGGCAAACCTGGGAGCTGCTTCAGTTGCCAGCTCCAGTTTGGGGAGCAGCGCCGGTGGAGGGTGACCCTGCCAGGCCCGGAGCCCTCAGGTCCTGGTGGCCTCCTGCAGCATCTCCCACACACAGGGCCGTGTGCGGGTGGCCAGCTTGGACTGCCTGGTCCCAGGTGGCCAAAGGGCCGTCCCAGAGCTGTGCTGTCCCCACAGAGGGCTCACGTGGGCACGGCCAGTGCCAGCTGCTCCTCACTCAGGCCCACACAGGGTCCCACGTGTGTCACTTCACTGTGGGGACCCTGCAGCCCCAGAGCAGAACAGATCCATGCCCACACCCGGGGCCATTTGCCCACTCTCCAGCTCCAGGACTGGGCTGTTCCAGGTCTCCTCCCAGCCACCAGCCAGTCCAGCTGTTCCCTGGGCTCACCTGGGCCTGCACAAAGCCGCTGCCTTTAGTGTGTGGGAAGTTTCCCCAGCCCTGGAGAAGCTCCCCAGCAGCCACCCCCCATCACAGGCAGTGGGAGGAGGAGGAGAAAGCCATCCTCGGGCAGCAGCACCTGGCACAGCCGCTTAGAGCAGCACATCTCAGTCCAGTCTCCACCCCGAGAGACAGGAGCTGCCAGGCATTTCCCATTTCCCATTTCCCATTTCTGGTGCCCTGAGCTGAGGCCATGTGCCATCCCCTGCTCCCGAGCCCGTGTGTGGTGCTGGGGGCTGCAGGCCGAGCTGGGGAAGGGCCCATCCCGGGCAGGAGCGGCAGGGACAGCGAGCAGAGCAGGGCTGGGCTGGCTGGGCACTGACACAAATCACACAGACATTCACCTTGAGATGGGCCCAGCTGGGCAGGAGCAGGGCTGGGCTCTGACACAAATCACACAGACATTCACCCTGAGATGGGTACAGCTGTCCTGGAGCAGGGCTGGGATCTGACACAAATCACACAGACATTCACCCTGAGATGGGTCCAGCTGTCCTGGAGCAGGGCTGGGATCTGACACAAATCACACAGACATTCACCCTGAGATGGCCCAGCTGGGCAGGAGCAGGGCTGGGCTCTGACACAAATCACACAGACATTCACCCTGAGATGGGCCCAGCTGGGCAGGAGGAGCAGGGCTGGGCTGGCTGGGCTCTGACACAAATCACACATTCACCCCGACATGGCCCAGCTGGGCAGGAGCAGGGCTGGGCTCTGACACAAATCACACATACATTCACCTTGAGATGGGTACAGCTGTCCTGGAGCAGGGCTGGGCTCTGACACAAATCACAGAGACATTCACCCTGAGATGGGTACAGCTGGGCAGGAGGAGCAGGGCTGGGATCTGACACAAATCACACATTCACCTTGAGATGGGCCCAGCTGGGCAGGAGGAGCAGGGCTGGGATCTGACACAAATCACACAGACATTCACCCTGAGATGGGCCCAGCTGGGCAGGAGCAGGGCTGGCTGGGCTCTGACACAAATCACACAGACATTCACCCCGACATGGCCCAGCTGGGCAGGGAGAGGCTGCCCAGAGCACCGGGGCTGGGATGGTGCGGGATCAGGGAATTTGGGGCAGGGGTTTTTGGGGTTTTCACTTCCCATGCCTGGCAAAGATGAGTGCAGAGCGCTGGGGAGCAGCTGCCCCATGGCTCCAGCCTCGTGTTTGGGACATCTCCGGAGCCGAGTTGGGAAAAGTGAGCCTTGCAGTGCAGGGGCAGCTCATCCCCCAGCTCTGCTCTGCTCCTTCTGCCTCTCATCACACCAACATCCCAGCCTAGGCTTTACCTCTGAGGGTGGATAAATCTCGAATTAGCAGAGCTCAGCACCAAACCCTGCCTGGCTGGAAAACCCACACCCAAGACTAGGGATGGGCTTGGGGCACCAAACCCTGGCCCCACTGCTGGAAATCCCAGTCCCTGGTGGGAGCAACAGGGTCTCACGGGAGGTGGGATGTTCCAGGAGAACAAACCAGGTCTGTCCCAGGCACTCCTGCTTTTCTTCCCTCCCCTCTTTAATCCGTGCCTCAGTTTCCCTGCATGAAAAAAGTGCATTTCCTGTTGTTTGTGTCAACAAAAAATTGGTTGGTCCTTTTGCATCCCCCAGAGGTCTGTGGTCCCCTGGGCATGAACCAGCACAGAGGTTGCCCCAGGAAGTTGCCACATTCCAAACAAAAAGGAAAAGGCGCTTCCTGGGGCAGTGCTGATGCCTTCAGACCCTCACTCAGGGCCTGCTTGGAAGGGACTAGTGAGAAACACAGGCTCCTGGGGTCACAGGAGATCCTGGGTGAATTTTGTGCCTTTCAATCCACGGAGCTCAGTCTGGACAGCTTCACGCTTCCCAACACAATCCCTTTGTGCTGTGGGTCCCTAAAGCACCCTGAGCCAAAAGCTTGCCAGTCCCAGTGGAAGAGGCTGGGCTGGGAGCACAGCTTGCCTGGAGCACACCTGGCTCAGCACCCACCTCCCTGGCATGGGGCTGGGCTGGGCAGGAGGACACTACACCCCACAACGGAATGAGGATAAAAGCCTGGCTAAGGCTGGACACTGGGGCTTGGAGCAGCCTGGGATGGTGGAAGGTGTCCCTGTCCATGGCAGGGGGTGGAAATGGATGAGCTTTGAGGTCCCATCCAACCCAAACCAGTCTGGGATTCCATGATTCTAAGATTCTGATTCTAAAATTCTAAACATTTTAAGGCATTCTGTTCATTCTGAGGAAGACTTTATCTTGCTGTGTTCCTTACTTTGTGCACGGCAAACATGCCCCTTCCTTGAAGGGGGTCTGCCCCTGCCATGAGCATTTCATGGCATTTCTGGAGAGCAGCCACTCTGCTTTGTGCCTCAGTTTCCCCACAGGGAGCTCTGCCTGCGGCCAGCACAGGGGGAGCAGTGGAGCCAGGGAGATTGGATCCCCTGGGAGCCGTTCTCTGGGAGGAGGACAAGGTGTGAAATTCCCTCTCTTATGGAAATAGGAAAGGTTTCAACAGCAGCTGGCACCTTCCACACAGCCTTCCCCCAAGGCTTGCAGCAGGGCAGCAGAAGGGAGGATGGAGAAGAGGGGCTGGATCCCACCATCCCTTTGGGAATGTCGGTCTGAGCCTGCCATGGGCTCTGCTACTCAGGCACAGGAGGGTCCTGAGCCCCTCGCTGACACAGGGGTGAGCAGCCCGTGCTGGGGACTCCAGAGCTGCCCTCCTGATCCTGCTAAGAAAAATAAATAATCCAATTTAAAAGCTGTCTGTTTTCCCCTGGCTGCCACTCTGGCTCAGCAGAAATGTTTTCTGCTGTGTCAGAGTCTGACTCAGCAGAAGGGGACACTGCCCTGGGGCCAGGGGCTGCCTTATCACTGCCCACAAGGCTCTTGTTTGTGCCACCCCAGTTATCAGCCTCTGACCACAGCCAGGCTGGGGCCAGCACCGTGACTCAGCACCCTGAGCCTGTGCAAACTCATCCCATCAGCTTGTGACGGGAGAGCCCATAAACATCCCATAAACATCCCATAAACTGCAGAGAACGGGCTCGAGTCTTGGGCATGGGACCCTCACCGTGATCCTAACCCTGACCCTGGTCCTGGTCCTGGTCCTGGTCCTGGTTTCAGAGCTCCCTTTCTGCCTGGGTGTGTGAAGAGGAGCCTCAAACAAAAGCATCCCCTGGGCTGGGCTGTGCCAGGTCTGTGGGATGTGCCCTGACCCCATCCCAGCTCAGCTGCTGTTTGGGACTCCCTGGCTGTGCCCGATGCTCGGTGCTGGGCAGAGCAGAGCAGGGTGAGTGACGCACTTGGGGCCAGTCCCTGCCTCACTCACGAGCCCTGCGAGCCCTGAGGTGCTGGGATGAGCCCCTTGCTCTCTGTCTGGGCACTGGGAGAGGCTCTGCCCGAGGATCAGGTTCGGTGCCTCACTTGGGGCAGCCCCCAAACAACCACTCAGCCTCTGTCAGGGATTTCCCCAGGTTCCACCCCCTTTCAGAGCCACTTTTGCTACGTGAATAAGAGGCCAGTGGCAGACTGGGGGTGAGATCTGGAGTGAGGTCAGATCTGGAGTTGGGTCAGGTCTGCCCTCCCAAAACCATTTCCAATATGGGAACAGGTCTGGCTCCATCCACTGCCAGCCTTAAAGGCTGTTAAGGCAGAACAAGACCCACAAAACACGTTCCTGACCCAGCTGGTCCCATGCCATGAGCAGGAGGAGAAAAGTCCTTGCCTGACTTGGTGCCCCGGAGCCATGCTTGCACACAAGAATCCTTTTGCTAGCAAGAGCCCCGGGATGTGAGGTCTGGGACAGCTCTCGTGGTTCCCAGGCAATGCTGGGACTTTTTGAGGAGGTCTGTGATGAAGGGAACCCTCTCCAAAGCAGCGAGAGGCAGAGGCAGCTCAGCCTGTGGCAGGTGAAGGGCTGGGAGCGCTGCTGAGATGCCCTGGAGCTCCCCTGGGCCTGGGACAGAGGATGCTGGAGCCTCGCTGAGGGAGAGCAAGGCCTGTGCTCGGAGGTGTCTGGGGTTTACCTGCTGAGGGTTAGGGTTAGCATCGCTCAGACGCTTTTCCTGCAGCACCACTTGGCTCAGCCTGGCCACAGAACCCTGGGCTCGTCAGTGCCACGGGGGAGGGAAGCTGTGGGGAGGGGGAGAGCAGCCCCAAGGCTACAGCAGCAGAGGGAAGGGCTCGCTGAGCAGAGTCCTCTCCCATCCTCCTGCTCCCTGTGTCGGTACTCGCTTTGTGAATCCTGCCTGTGGGCACCAGGCAGGGATGGAGGCAACCCTGAACCCTGTCCTGAAACAGCTCTCACCTGCCCTGAGAGAAAAACATGATAGGAAAACTCAATGTACTCCATGGACAGGAGAAGAGAAGGGTCCAGGGCCTGAAGGGGCTCCAGGAGAGCTGGAGAGGGACTGGGGCCAAGGGCTGCAGGGCCAGGAGCCAGGGAATGGCTGCCAGGGGCAGAGGGCAGGGCTGGATCTTGGGATCTTGGGCAGGAATTGTTCCCTGGCAGGGTGGGCAGGGGCTGGGATGGAATTGCCAGAGCAGCTGGGGCTGCCCCTGGATCCCTGGCAGTGCCCAAGGCCAGGCTGGACATTGGGAGCTCCTGGGACAGTGGGAGGTGGCCCTGCCATGGCAGGGCTGGGAATGGGGGAGTTTTAAGGTCTCTTCCCACCCAAAGCACTCTGATTCCACAGCAGAACCGCTCCTGGTGTGACTGATGTGGATGGAGATGTGTCCATCCGTCTGTCCCAGCGCCGGCAGCTACTGCTGCCCGGCCCGGCCCGGTTCCCTCAGAGCCCGGACACCGAACAGCCCGGACACCCGGCCCGGTTATCGGGGCTGCAG